TTTCAGGACGAGACAAGGCTGATGAATATCAAGCTATTGCCAAATATTAACATATGCTACTCTAGAGAGTTAGAAAAGGGACAGTTTGCTAACAAAAACTTTTGTGTGTGTGTGTGTGTGTGTGTGTGTGTGTGTTGGTTTGAACAAGAATGGTAAGGGTGACTCCCATAGGCTCATACATATGAATGCTTACTCACCAGGGAATAGCACTATTTGAAAGGATTAGAAGAATTAGGAAGTGTGGCTTTGTTGGAAGAAATATGTCACTTTGAGGTTTCAAAAGTCTATGCCAAGACCAGTGTCTCTCTCAATCTGTGGATGACCATGAAGTTCTTAGCTGTTACTCCAGCACCATAATATCAATGGACTAAATCTCTGAAACTGTAAGCAAGTCCCCAATTAAATCCTTTCTTTATAAGAGTAGTCTTGGTCATGGTATCTCTTCACAACAATAGAACAGTGACTAGAGCAGTGTGTGTGTGTGTGTGTGTGTGTGTGTGTGTGTGTGTGTGGTGATGATGATGATATTAGATGTTGACAAAACTTTTTGTGAGGGCCCAGAGCAAGTAAACTTGTCACTAAGTAGTAGCTTTATTTCTTACTAAAGCCTCAGGGCTGGGGACTGGAAACTATAGGTGATAAAGAGATACTTTCAGAAGACAGACACTGGCTACTATAGAAATCACTGGTGTCCTCATCTATGTTCATGAGCAGCATAGATTACTTGTCTATGAATTTTACACAGGGTGACATTGGTGATGTTCAGTGACTTGATTGTCATGCAATGAACTAAAGATAGCCATTGGCAGCTGGTGGGTAGATGCTGTCCTGGTTTTCTTTCTATTGCTGTAGTAAAGATCATGGCCGAGGATCTGAGGAGAAGTGGATTATTTGACTTATTCTGTTCATAGTCTATTATCGAGGAAAGTAGGGCAGGAATTCAAGCAGGACAGAAACCTAGAGGCAGGAACTGAAGTGGAGGTCACTGCTTGCAGGTTCACTTTTCATGGCTCACTCAGTTTGCTTTCTGGTACCACCCAGGACTGCTGCCCAGGGGTGGTACCACCCACAATGGGTGGAGCCCCACCACATCAATCAAGAAAATGCCCCACAGGCTTGCCTACTGGTCAATGTGATTGAGACATTTTCTAGGTTGAGGTTCCCTCTTCCCAGACGAATCTAGATAGTGTTCAGTTGGAAAAACACAAAACCAAACACAAACAAATACCCAAGCAGCACAGAGGCCAAGAATGGTGTATAATCTTCTTGAAGTACTTGGGATAGTGTCTCTCAACAGTTATCTCACCTAATATGTTGGCAGGCCTGAGGCTGAGAAAGCCTGTTCTGAGTTACCACAGAAGACTTGTCCACAGACAATGACGGACAGAATCATTCAGTGGCGAAACACTCCCTGTGACAGACTTTAACTGCTGTATTGCAAAACCTCACAGAAACACAATGAGTCTTGGTGACTGGTGAGCTGGTGGCTCTCCATTAGCTACTGCCCAGGTAGCCTGTTTCCTGCCTGTTTGCATAATGAAAACTTGGGGAAAGCAGAGGTGAGACTCTCCATAGGGGAGAAAGGAGGCTGCTTTATTCTTGGAATTATTTTGGTTTTTTACCAAGGATAGAGCAGCAAAAAAGGGATGGGGGGGCAGAGTTGTCCAGCAGGGTTGACACTTTGAAGAGCCACTTCCATGCCAGCACACCTCAGGAGTTTGGGAGGTGTCACAGAAAGTCCTCAGTGCCTGCAAATATATCCAAATGGTCCTGGATTGCTGATGATAATCACTGGACAGTCCAGAAGAAACATTTCTCATGCAAACCCACAGTCTAAAATAACCCAAATCTGGAAACTTCTGAGGGCTAATAATCCCACACTGTAAATATTTCTTTCGTGTTTCATGAAATTATTAAAAACATTGTACAAAGCTACCTTCAGGACATGAATTTAAGGACTATAGAAAATATAAATTAATGTGCTGTCTGGTCTTGAGCCCACCTCCAGAGGGATAACTCCTTACATAAGAACATACAAATAAGTTTAAAAGTACAAAAATCTGAAACACTTTTGACCTCAGCAGTTTTGATGCCTTCTCACGCTCCTCATCTTCATTTTATCAGCGTCACCTGGAATCTACAGAGCATTAATTAAGTCACTTCTATAGGTCTATATTCACTTTGATCTCCCGCCTCTGGGTGTGTCCTTTCTACTGGGATGGCCTGTATTTGGGGGTGCTGTTCCTCTGGCAATCAATGCCATTGGCTGCCCAGACTCCTACTGTACCCACCTCTCTATGTGAACGGTGGCTGGCTGCTAGTGTTCCTCACAAGCGCACCTTCCACATCCCATCATCTCTTTCCTATTTCCATGCATGCTTCCTTCCTGTGGGCAGAGCCCCAAGGTAGGCCATCTGTGCTGTTATGCTACATAGGTCCCTTAGTGTGCTTGAGGAATTTTTTTGTCACCATATTAAAAGTCTTATTTGGGGGTTTAGAAAAATGGCTCTGCAGTGAGGAGCACTGGTTGCTCTTCCAAAGGATCCAGGTTTGATTCCTAGCACACAGCATCATCACCATCTATAATTCTAGTTCTAGAGTCACCCTCTTCTAGCTTCTGTGAATAGTGAACACCAGGCAAGCACATGGTGCACTGACATACATGTAGACACCCCCCCTCACTCTCTGTCTGTCTCTCTCTCAAGTTATTTTTTATGAACTAGAAAAAAGCCAATGCAATGTGTGAAAGAGCAGGAGGCATATACAATGTGTATGCCTGTACTTCTTCCTTGCTACCTTAATTAGAGAGCACAGTCACTGTGAGCATCTGTCATCTGCATGTCCACCATGTGTGAAAGTTCATGGACTTTCAGGAGAATTCAAGAACACCACATTCCGCTGTGGAGAGAAATGGAGGCTGGTTGTCCCAGGAGGCCACACTTTCCATTCCAAGATGAGATGAAAACCTACCTCCAGCATGGAAACCAGTGTTTTTTCTAGCACTCAGGGTAGGTAAGGAGCCTAACCTCATTCTTAATCATTTCACTACCTGCCTTTGCCAAGAGATAGCTACGGAAATGAAGACCCAAAGGGGAACTCACCTGCTTTGCTGTTAATTTTTCCTCTCATTGAGAAGCCAGTGTCAGAGAATGTCAGTAGCACTTATTTAGAACAAGAAGTAATTTATTTTTTTATTATCTGTTTGTTAGAGAGAGAGAGAGAGAGAGAGAGAGAGAGAGAGAGAGATGGCATGGAGCTGGATGGGTAGGAAAGTGGGGAGGATCTGGGAGGAGATGGGGGAGGGGAAACCATGATTAGAATATATTGTATGACTTTTCAATTAAAAACAAAAGAAGCAAAGCAAAAGCAGTTGACTTGGTTCTGAGAGGTTTCCATTGTTCCAGTTAGAATGGAATACGCAAATCATGTATTTTTGGCCACTTAGCATATGGGTTCAATTCTCCTTTGTTTGCATTTGAGCTGATACTGTAGAAATGAAAGGGAAGGTTCATGCTAACAATTGAAATTTTTGAATTTTCTTTTACTTAGAGCGGCATTAAATTACAAGTAATTATTTTAGAAACCACATTGCAAGTCAGAATACTGTGGGCAAAAGGAAGAACCTTTTATATTAATTGGAACACATTTTTGTACCTTTGGTAAAAGGCACCCTATTTTCATGTTGTGTTGGCCCGTGTATATGATTACCTACTGGTGACATGCACCGAAAGAACCTGTGTATCTTTGCTGGAAGACTCTGAGAGCCCACCTTGCCAAGGCCCTGGAAGGTGCCCGGGAACTGATGTTCCCTGCGAGAAACACTCAACCAATAGGAAACAGACGAGGAGGTGTAAGAGCTCCAGCTCCTGTGTCTCTCACTGGGACAGCCGGGATGTGGCCTGCCTTGGCTTCACGTTTCCTGTGGCACTGGTCCCCCTTCTGTAACTGCTAGCTGTGCATCTTCTCGGGCTCATTCCCTGCCTGATCCCTCCTCACCTAAAAAACCAGATTCTCTCCCCCAGAGCTCCCTGCCTGTCCAGAGTTCTGGTCCTAACTAGTGGGGTGATCTGAGTGTTGTTCAGAACAAACTCATCGTCTTGATGAGTTCTATGACCAATTTCCACCAAGATGGCTATTTTATATAAGAAGTCAATGTACATAAAGATCAAGTTGTGGGGAAGAAAGCTCAACAGGAAGAGATACATACATGAAATCTGGGCTTTCTCAAAACCCAGTGTTGCACACCCATGAGTCCAACTACTCAAGAGCTTGAGGCTCTGTAGCTTTGCCTACAGAGAAAGTTCCAGACTGTCCTGGGTAACTTAGTGAGACCTTGTCTCAAAAATGTAAAGTACAAAATGGGTCAAGTTATAGCTCAGTAGTAGAATTCTTGCTGAGCATGTGCTAGGGTTTAATTTCTGGCAGCCCTCACCTCAGAGAGAGACAGATAGACAGAGACAGAAAGACAGACTGACATAGATGGGGGCTGGGGAAAGCAGACACACACACACATACACACACGTGACAGGGGTTAAGGTATGTACTAGATACAAAAATCTTCCCACTCAGATGAGCAGGAATTCGCAGAGCAGCTTGAAGAACTGCTCCACCATGAGTAATATTCTTGGCAGATTTTGACCATCGATGACCAAGTGAACACAGATCCGGTGGCTTGGACCTCAGGAAATCATGCTTCCTAATTCCATGGTGTCCCCAGCTCTGGTAGTTTTGATAGGGGAGTGGAAGGTAAAGCTAAGCTATAGAAAGCTTTATTTCCCCTCTTAGAGTTAGTCATAATCTGTTCCTCGAGAGCCGACCTGGTGCCAAGTCGCAGATCAACTTTTCTACCCACTTAGGTAAAGGTCACTCAATACAAGTGACCTTAGGAGCAATTTCCTCTGTATGGGGAGGATTTTATCCACGCTTCAAAGTCAACATAAATATCAATAGCTAAGAAAAGTCTGTCATTGGAACACTGTTTCTCTTTCCTCTTTGCCTAGAATGTTGGAAGAATCCTTCTGGACTAATCGCTCCAACACCAGTGAGAGAAGAAGAGAGGAGGTGTCCCCCATGAACGGAGTCAGGAGAGATGAAAGACTTCAAATCTTGGGTTCAGTCTGCATTCTCATTGTATACTCTAAAACTCAAGGTGGATGGGCAAGCAAGTGAGATTTTACAAAAGTGTTTATGGTTAAGAGCAGCAGTTAAGACCAATGACCCATTGTTTCAGCTATTTCTCCAGGTCACTGTTTCAGGCAGTAAGTGAAATCATGCTTGGCAAATAGGTAATGCTTTAAGTAAGTCAGTAAGTAAATCAATGAATTATTATCCAAAAACTGGTCTTTTCTACCTTAGTCTTCTTTAGAATCTCCATATAAATATCTATATGTTTATCAGCTGCCTCCCCTGGGCTACAAGATCTTCCAGACAGACATTTTGACTCACTCATCAGTGAGATCCCATTGTCTTGTGCAATGATCTCAAAAGAGTTTGGTTGTTTAAATAATAATAACGGTGGTTTATGAGCTGGGCTCTTGCTGAGCACTTTATAAATACTACCTATTGCCTTCCCCTTTCCTAACAACTTAGTAGTATCTACCAGGGGCCAGGGTCTTCATTGTGCAATTGGAGCAGTGAAGCTAAAGAGGTTTAGAAGTTCACTCAAGAGCTCACCTTCTCCCTGTTAGCAGAACCCACTCAAACCCAGGTTTGCTGGCAGCAGAGACTGTGTTGTTGAGCCTGGATTAAATAATGTTTGCTGAGTAGTTATTTCCAAGGCTGTCAGTTAGAGCACTCATTAGGAAGAGACTCATCTGTACAACACCCTTTTAATTAAACAGTGTTACCAAGCCCCTTAGGATATACAAAGGATCCATTTGTATCTCCCAATTCTATGTAGAATGGGTTTTCATTTTAACAAGTTGCTCCCATGTCCAATGGACCCTGTTATCAAAAGGTCTGCTTCACACACACTGTCACTGGCACGAGTCAAGTGCACAGCTGTGGGTCCTCCCAGCCCACAACTGGTTCCTCCTAGCTCATGATTACAGGCACTTCACCAAGTTACATTATATGTAGGAAATTCATAAGGGTGGTGTAAGTAGACAGATTCAGGGTACTGATGTCTTCTACTCCATTAGGCAGATGAGAAAAGTGTATTTTTCTTTCCTTTTTCGTGTGTGTGTGTGTGTGTGTGTGTGTGTGTGTGTATGTGAAACCCTTCCTTTCTCATGCTTAACTTTTATTGTTCACAGAGGATTTCAAAGTATTACCAGCCTATGAGTTTCATATTGAGTCATCTGGACATAAGGGACTTTCAGAGCCTAATGGGTGGGATTTTATAGTGCATTTCTTTTTCAATTCTGTGTGCATTTAAATAAACAAAAAACATAAGAATGCGCCATCTTCCCTACTGTCTGCTTGTCATAGCCTGTCACTGAGAACTGGGGAGCACAGGGATGGTTGTCTAAGGTGTGGTCAAGGCTGTGGATTTGCCTGGTGCCTGATTGATCCCACCCCTCTGGTATCTTGTTTCCTCATCCTCCCAGGAACAAAAGGACCTATGTTAGGGAAGTGTGGGTTTGGAGTGTCACTAACAGCCACCCAAACTTTGCGAATGACTAATTTGCAAACATATAACAGATGGATTCAGACAAGAGGAACCATTTTGAGAACCACAAAAAAGAGAGATGCGGCAGAATTGTGTAATGGGAAAAGTGACGACTCCACAGTTAGGAGTACTTGTGCTTTAGATAAAGTGACATCATACATTTTCTCCAAACTAGAACTCCTTCTAGAATGACAAAGAATAGTATTGATAATTATGCCAAGATAACAGAGTCTATCCTGGTCATGGCAATTACAGGACACGACTTGCATGACCTCCAGTAAGCCAGTCAGTGTTGCTGGTTCTCAACTTCTTACTGAAGTTTCCCCAGCTTTTCTGTCACCAAGGACTATATTCTAAAGTCTTCATATAATCTCTGTGTTTCAAAATAATCATATCAACTACGACTAGGTGACATGTCAAGTAGAAGTTCTGTTAATCAGAACCTTTGGTCGGCATTAAATGACCAGCACTGCCCAATGCTGATGTAATTTTAGGTAAAATAAACCAGTCCAAACCAAGCCAACATAGAAAACCTGACCTTTTGATGTAACTGGTATCTTTTATTAAAATAAATCTAATAGTTCTTCTATTATTTTGGAAGATGTTGGCAGTTTTAAGATCCTTCCCAGTATATTTATGACCAATAGACCTCTAACTTTTGAGGTTGAAAACTACTTTAATGGATGCTGTTCCTTTTATCCAGACCCAGTTCTGATGTCTCTGGTCACCTGACAACTCTAGTGGCACCTTCCCTCTCTGTGAAATATAGACATAGAGAGGTGCTAGAAAATGAAAGAGATCCAGGGAGCAGAGAGAAGCACCTGGATAAGATGCCTGTGGAGGCAGAGGGAGCTTTGCCTTGGGGGTATTTCCCTCCTACATAAGGCTTCTTGCCCCACCCCTGGGGAAATTCTTAGGGTGTGTTCACATCAGGATATGAACAGGAAGCAGGAGTGAAATATCTGTGCAATTGCTCATTCTTGCCTCCTCTCTTCCACCCATATGATCTCACTCTGGGGCTGAGAAATGAGCAGCCTGGAGGGGCACCTCCACAGATTTAGGATAGCAGAAAGCAGAGAACAGAAGAAGAAAAGGACATGCCTTTTGCTAAATGTCCCATGACTTGCATTGACATTCTAGTTTCTAGGGCAATAACCTTTGTGATGTGCTATCTACCCAGTGTGTTGGGAAATGTATGTGTGGAGTGGTGTGACAAGGATACATACCACTTAGCAACTTCTGCCCAGTGAAACCCTTATAATGAAGACTTATCCTACTCAAAAATGGCAAAGGCACCTTCTATAAGAAGACAAAATCTAAGAATTGCCTTCAATTGTTTCATAGAAATAACTATTTGGCCATGTTCCACTGGTTTGGATTATACTGGGTAGCTTGGTATGATGCTGTGTGGCAAACAGTAGAGTATGTTGGTTTCCACAACTCTGATAAAAGGACTAAGTCGACATCATCACAGAAGTCATCCAGAAATTCATTCTACCACAGGCTCACGTACACACAGTATGTTGTGGGGTGGCTTCTCTTTTATCTGAGTGTCATCATAATTGCTGAATCATTGTCTTTATTTTCTCATGAGATCATTGCTGTCATCCCTCAAAGGAGAAGAGTTCGAGTTAAACCCATGATGCAGTCATGCCACTGCCAGGGTGGGCCTTCAGCCTCTTTAATTGGCCCTGTTCTGGCTTCAGTTCCGTTCATTTCGGCTAGGAGTATATGGCAAAAAAGCTTTTCTGCAGTCTTCCCATGACATGGTTAGTCCAGCTCTGCTGTGAGTTAATAGTCCCATGGGAGGTAGGCCAAGGGCATTCCTTCGCTACAAGATGACTCCTGAAAGAGGTCAGCAAGGAACCACAAATGGGGGGCTCTGACCATAAATATTTCAGAACCTGATTTCCTTAAAAATCTTAAATAATGAAAACCATTTGTCTGTTTAAAGACTTTTAAGTCTTCCCAATGCCTTGTTTCAGAATCCCATGGTGAGATACATGTATGACATCATGATTGAGAGGTGTATATAGCACATAAAACCATGCCTGGGTCAGGGAGAAGTGCTAAGCTCTCAGGAGGGCCCAGGGGCAAATATGCAAACGTGGCCCAGCACATGTCAAAGACCCATGTAAGGGTAAACATTTTTATGACTCTGTTCCTGGGAAGAGAGACACAGCCTGCGATTAGAATTTATAGCTGTCATGTTGCGACGAGGCAGTAATGGCCATTTAGTGTGCAAATGGCCATTTGGGGAGATGGAAGTTTAACACACTAGGGTGGAAATCTCAGAGTGACACAGAGGGCAGGACCCTTCACCTTCCCTGGAATAAGTTGACTCACCCTGCAATCTGCCCTTTAGGCCTTTTGTTTTTCAGCTATCTTTCTTTATATTTACAATGTTCCCTACATTTTCTTGGGGCTTTGACACACATGACATTTTGGCATCAAGAAAATCCCAAGGTCAAGGGAAAATACATTTCTGGCTATAAATTTCATTCTTAAATTCTTCTCATCTGTTACATTCTAAGAGCACTCATCATACCCCCTGAAATGTCTCCACCTCTTAGTGTTCACAAATCTGAACTCATTTTGCTAGTATGTATGTGTGTTAAGCTCTTTTTGGCCTCCATGTCTTCTGCCAGCTTAACATAGTTTCTCAGCTGGGGTCAATCTTGCCCCCTGGGGTTATGGAGACATTTTCTGATAGCTGCAGCTAAGAGGATTATGTGCAATACTCTGTAAGGTGACAGATGCCAAGTGTGTTTCTGAATGTACTACAGTGCTCATGGTAGCCTCCTACAAGCAAGAAAGAGCTAGTTCAAACCATCTAAAGGCAAAGTTGAGAAGCCCTGTACAAGAGCTAAGAGGTATGGCTGGTTTCTGCCTAGGCCAAGAAAGTCATTGTCTCTATATACACTGCCTCGAGGAACTCTCTCTGACATAAGAAATGTGCTTATCAGTATACTAGGCACTAGACATATGGCTACCAACTTTGTCCAATATTGCCAGCCTGACTGAAAAACTGGGTTTTAATTTTTGCAACTTTAATTCATGACATCCTAATCATGGCATACGGCTAGTAGCTATTCTGTTGGACACTGAAAGTCTATATAAGAGACAGTCACATTGAGGTAACATGCCTCTGGTCAGCTATTCCTCTCATTTATGATTGGAATCCGGTAATTGTATACTACTTATATAAGTAAGATTTTTGTCCATGTTGATATAACATTAATTTTGGGAGAGAGAAGGACTTTGACTCATAAACAGTAGTTGCTTCATCAATACAGATAATGAATCAGAAAGCTATTTTGACCAGAGCAGAGAGCACTGGGAGCTTGAAGTGAATGAAGAGATCTTATGAGATTGAACAAGAGGCAGGTTGGAGGACTGACTCTAGCTCACAGTTTGAGGGTACAGTCCTTCTTGATGGGGAAGGACTGTCCATAGTCAGGAAGTAGATGACTACTGATGTTTAGTATCCTCTTCCAGGACCCTAGCCCATGGGGGAGTGACAGTTATATTAGGGTGCTTCCCTCACAAGCTAAGCCTCTTTGGAAACAGCCTCATACACACACCAAGATGTGTATCTCCTAGGTGATTGTAATTCAGTGAAATTGACAGCAGAGATGAACTATCACAAAGTCAGGGGCAAGTATCTATAATAGACTAGAAGAGCTGAAGATGTACTCTAGAGGCAAAAGACAACTTGTGCTTTCCTCAATTGTGCAAATTCTTCTAAGAACAGAAGTTAAAATCCCAGCATTACTATTTTTCAGGCATATGTCTATGGAAGCCAAAGGGAAGCAGAAACAAAGGGGTCATGCTTCCTATCCTTTCTCTGTCTGCCTGTAGCTCTCAGGCCAGGTTCTTCAACACTGAAATATCATGGCACCTCCTGATATGTAAATCCCATTTCTTTCTTTTATTATTTATAAAGGACCAGGTAGGTGCACCAAAGCCTATTGTTATATTCTTGATGCTGAGGATGTAGCCTAGGGTCTGGTATGTTCTTTATGCTGAGGATGTAACCTAGAGTCTGGTATGTGACTTAGGCAAAGTACTTTAGTACTGAGTTACTCTCCAGGCTATTCTGGGTTCTGCTGAACCTAGTATTTCCTTTTGGAACTGCTTATTGAGGGTTCATTTTCTCCCCAATCCATCTGATATACAGGTGGTTACACTAACCTTTATAGCTGGATTTGTGTGATGATACTATAGACAAAGATTTCCAAGGAGAAATCCCCAATCACACCGGGGAGCCACATCTACCCATGTTTCCAGAAATGGAGAAAGAACACTAAGCCACAAACTGAACCAAATCCCAACATTTCCCCCATAGGTGTTTTCTGTGCAACTCACATTGGTGCTACTGGGAACACTGAATTGAGTGATTTAGGTATAAACCATGGAGACTGAGCTGAAGGAGTAAGGTATGAGAGCTTCTCAAAAGCTACTTTTCCTCCTTCCTCCCCAGAAAGACAATGCTGTGATTGGTTCAGGGGTGAGAAAATAATTGGTGAAGGAATTCATTTCCAAGCCCTCAAGTCACCACATGGCAAAGGACGAGTCAGGAGGGGAGGGTAGGAAAATAATTCAGGACAGCGAAAGACAAACGCAGGTGGCCTTATACTGATAACTACAATTGAGGGTGGCGAGGTTATGATCATGAAAAGGCCGTGTGCAATGAATAGAAATCATGCCTGGAATTTGAATTTAGATATTTTCCTGAAGTAGTGAAATGTAGTCCAATCCTCTGTC